CTGAAATTCGTCCGACTGCTCCACAGTTCTATGTCTCTGTGTCTATTTTGTTCATCAGTTTATTTTGCTCATTAGATTTCACGTATGAGTGAGATCATGAGCAGAACATTTGTCATCAGGGAAATGCAGGTCAAAACCACACTGCACACCTTCAGAATGGCTTGAAAATGCTAACTTTTGACAAGGACGGAAGCAGCTCGGATTCTAATAAATCTCTGGAGAAACACTTAACAACTAAAAGTCAATTCTAAAATTTGTCCAAATGTGTGATAACACATAAAGCTATACAAGCGTTAGTAACAAAGCATGCTACTGTGTGTCAAAACAAAAAATTAATCTCCCCGTTTTCTTATTCGTTAGCCACTGTTGAAATCCCAATTAGTTTTTCTTTTTCAGCCTTCTCTTTGAAAGGAGTTTCATAAGAACCAAATAGGTAATCCTAATCAAAGATCTCCTTCCCATTAACATCCTCGGGCACGTGACTTTCACAACAAACGTTGGAGAATGAAGTTAGCGAACACAAGCAAGGAAAAAGAAAATCAATTAAAGGACAAAAGAGCAAGGTGAGCTCAGGCACAAGTGAGTTAAAAAAAAAAAAGAAGGGAAAAGAAGAATTCTAGATGGTACAGCTTTAATGGCATCTGGGAGTATACACTGGAAATCTGGGAAGAAGGAATTGAGCGTACCTGTTAGAAATAGGCGGTTTCTGGGAGCTGTCCAATGTACCAGCTGGACCATCCCAGTCACAACTTACCTCCTTACCAGGAATGAATGCACATGGTGATTCTAGTCCGTCTTGAACCAAGCCATCTATTTGCTAATCTTTTCTTGTTAGGGGGTCTATTACTTCTAAAGGGAAAAATGAATGCTTCTTTGTTAAAATATGAGAGATAATATAAAATCAGTAAAATTTCATTTTCATTATACCAAGCTTACATTTCCTTTTTCATCTTAAAAAAAAAAAAAAATGATCTAAGGATAACCAAACATCTCTCATAAATAGAATGCAATGAAATATAATTTCTGTTCATATGTCCTGTGGGGCGGTGCAGAGCAGTGAGTAAAATAAGCCAGGTGGAAGCGTCAGGGTTTTTCTTGTTCGCAAACACTGATCAAGCCATTTAAAATTCGAGAGACAGCTTCTCAACGGAGGGTGAGCTGGTGGACCCACGGGTTTTCCAAAGGGCAGATCACATTTTTGAAAGGAGATTGAGGCTGTTTGGTTTGGGGCCGGGGAGGGTGTGCTCTGCCCCCCACGCTGGGATTATACACGAGAGCAAGCTCTGAGAAAATATGCGGAGCCCCACCCCCCCTTTCGTTTTATTACCCTCATAACTTCTGCCCTCGAAGGAAAATCCTCTCTTTTACATGAGTCGAAGATAAGGGTAGGGAAAGGAAAGTCAAGTGTCTGAATTGTTAGGCTGCTCGTGACAAAACGGACTTTAGAAGGCAGGGTTAGTGACTCGGCAGGAGAGATGTTTACGATGCCCTGGAAGGAGAAAGCCGGTTCCAACAGCGACTGTGGGGAATGCGCTCCGGGCCCCCCGACCGTGCTTACTTAAGCTAATGGAAGGTCTTGCCTTTCAGTAGCCGCTGCACCGGGATACCAGACAAACAGCCCCCCGCGACCCCTAGCAGGCAGGGCCCCTCTTCGGGACCTCATTAAAAGCACATGCGCTTGTTTCGCGCTGGTTGGCGGCCTCGGAGGGCGAGATTCAGGGCTCCGCTCGGAAGCCAAGGAGAAGCCAGGGCGGTGGAAAACATCCTCGCTTTGAAAAGCCAAATCTAAATTAAAGAACTACATGAGAGAAGGAGTCTGAAGAATATTAGTTGGCCGCGGGGTGAGGAGAGACCCGAAAAGCACAGCAGGTAAGAGCCGGGGGCAGCTGCCAAGAAGGAACTGTCCCAGGTGGCGCGGCGCAATGGATACAGTATCGGCGCTGGAGGCCCGTCTCCAGGAGCCCTCGGGGCGTGGTCGAGCTCGCCTCCTTCCACCAGTTTCGCCAGGAGGGACGTCGTCTTAGCCTTCCCCGTCCGTGCGACTAATCCTGTTATCAGCTGGGTTATAAATATCAACGTCCCCCTGGCCCTTCGCGGATGCTGTCGCATCAGATCCAGGGCTGCTAGGACGCGGATCACCTGTCCCGCCTCTCCCTGCGAGAAACCGATGAGACACTGGACCAAGAGGACTCGATGGCGGTCTATCCGGAGAGCTGCGTGGACGCCACCGTGCTGGACTTCGTCGCAGACCTGTCCCTCGCCTCCCCGGGGCACCCTCTCCTCTGCGACTTCGCTCCCGGGCTCCCCTTTGGGGACCGAGGCCTCGCGCTGCAGGAGGGAAGACCCAGGAGTCTGGCGTGCTTTGGCGAGGATCCCGAAGAAGAGGGGGGTGAAGTCGACGAGGGGGAGGAGGGGGAAGAGGGGCCGGGAAGAGGCGCCTCCCTGCTGGGCCGCCCCAAGAGGAAAAGGGTGATCACCTACGCCCAGCGCCAGGCGGCCAACGTCCGCGAGAGGAAGCGCATGTTCAACCTCAACGAGGCTTTCGACCGGCTGCGCAGGAAGGTGCCCACTTTTGCGTACGAGAAAAGGCTGTCTCGGATCGAGACCCTCCGCCTGGCCATCGTCTACATCTCCTTCATGACCGAGCTCTTGGACAGCTGCAAGAAAAAGGAAACCTGCTGAGCCCGTGCGCGAGGGCGCGTCGGCCGCCTCCCGCCTGGGCGCCTGCGAGTTTAGGGCGTTTGGGGTCCCGGCGGCGGGAAGGCCTGGAGGGACGCTCCGAGGCAGGACGTCGGACCTCCTGGGGCTCGGTTCGGATTGTAAAACGCCCAGAGCCCTCGCCGAGTTACCACGTTCGCGGTCGCGCTCGGTGGCGCGTTG